GTGGAAGAGCGGGAAGGGACTTTTCGGTTATCATGGGGGAGTTTTCCTTATCCCTAGATTTGGCAGCAGAGGCTGCCTTTGATTTCTTTCTCCGCCTGGCCATGAGAGTCTCATGGCAACCCATGCAGAAAATGCCTTGTGAAGTCCTTGCATATCGCAGATTTTCAATTTTCCTCTTGCAGTTACGACATCGAAAGCAGGTGGCGCAAAATGCTTGGTCTCCGGTCAAGATAGCAAGGTCCTCTATCTTGTTGCCACAAGCACTACAGCTGTAGGTGCAGTTATTGCAAATGAGTGAACCGTCGCCAAGGAGCAGAAGGTTGGCGTCTGAGTCGAGGAGAGTGCCACAGGTATGGCAGCGAAAACAGTCCAGATGCCATCGATTTCCGGCTAGAGGTTGAGCAACCATCAGCACCAGCCTGGCCAGTCATAATCAGGAATATCAAATATGACGCCCGGAGCAGGAAGCGACCGACACCAAATCGAGGAGCGGAAGGGGGGGAGGGAGTCAAGTGTAACCAAGGTTCACAGCATGTTTTGGGGCTATATTGCATGGCAAACATACCTAACTCGAAGGCCTTGCCTTCCTCCAGAATCTACACCACAAGAAGCATTTGTCAGTATCGGGCTGCCGACAGAACGTTGACTGACTGTACGGGAGCAATTTGGCGGGGGCAAACTAGGTCCAAGGGCACATACCTCTCCGCAGCCCTTGCAAGGGAAAACATCGTCATTGTCCAGAGGACTTTCGATATATTCATCCACTATAGCAGTCATGGCAAAAGAATGCGGCACACACGGCCGGTCTGCGCCAAAAAGAAAGGCCGGCTACGATATATATCGAATGTCGAAAGGTGATCGGCAGAGGTGGGCTCGTGGAACGGGTTCGTGGAGAGGACGATAAAGGTCAGCCTGTCATGGACTCGACGGCAGAGAGGATTGGCTCTACAGAGCAGTCACGTCGCAGTCGATGATCGGCGGCCTAAGAGCAATAATGATTGTGAAGACGAGGGACGACAAATGCATGAAGAACGTGGAAGAGGGGAGCAGAAGAAGGAAGTCTCGGGCTGGTGATTGTGCAAGGATGCGGCGCCGCCAGAAGTCTTCGATATTACCATAGGCCTTGCGCAAGCACAAGCACAAGAACAGGGGGGGGAGAAGAAGGATTGAGAATGGCCGGGAAGAGAGTGGCGTTGCCAGGGGTTCACAGTCAATTGGAAAAGAAAAAAGGGTGGTGGAGGGCCTGGCACCTCCGGCGCTGGCTCAGTGCTACCTCTAAGTACTAAGGTAAGTACGGAGGGAGAGTGGTCGTGGGCAGACGTGGGCGTAGCTGTCATGTACCCCGTATTACGGGCGAGTCGAGTGCTCCCTGGGTATAGAGTACATAGTATTTATGTGATGTCTGGTGCTTGGTCTTTATCGAAGATCTGCTGGCTCAAGGCCAACGAATGAGTCGATGCAAGGAAAGACTTGCGCAGCAGCAACAAAAAAAAAAAATGAAGAGTACGCAATACCTCAATGTAGAATGAGTTATTACCAGGCACATCAAGCAAGGCGGGCTGGGGGGTTCTGAAGTTGGGGTGAGACGGATGATTTCAGCGTGCATGTGTGTTGGAAGGGACCGTCGTCAGCAAGGGGACTCGAGGTCGGTGGAAACAATGGATCGAGGCAGGCACTACCGACATTTGGACGGCACCAAGGACTCGAGTGCCACGCTGTACTCAAGTATGCCAAATACTCTGAGGACAGATGATATGGACACTGCCTAGGTGCTCAGCCAACGTGAAAGCAACAGCTGCGGATACTACGTGCCAATAGTACCTAGGACCTAACACATATTGACATGTTCGAATGTCGATTTACCTTGTACCAAACCAGGAGGAGCCTCAGCTGCCAAGTTGTAAGTCGACGACGCCATGTTGAAATCAACTCTGAATATGGAACAGGGAAACAGAGGGCCAAGGACGAAGCCACCACCGGCAACAAAGCGTCAATACTAAACACAAATGCATATGCATGTACGCCGCGAGCATCCCGCCAATTGCAGCTGTATCAAAGCGTTCGTTTACGGTTGCTGGGCGAGGCCGAGGGCACGAGGGCACCTGACCTACCGTCGAGACTCGTATACCTGGTACATACATTCGCACCTCCAGATGTCCACCCAGCATGCTCAAGTGACGTCCGCGCGCCAAGACCAGTCAACACTTGAGCACTTTCTGAGCCTTGAACCTTGAAGAAGTTGAAGAAGACGGGACGTTGTCGTGCTTCAGATGCCGCTGCCCAGTGCAGTCTGCAGCCCATGCATGTGTGCTCCTCGCGCCGGCTCCATCACTAAGTTCAATGTTGATCCTGGTACCTGACGTCCGGTGCAAACGCCAGCCTGGCCCCTGCTCCGCCCTGCCCTGCCCTTGCCCTGCCCTGCCGGGCTCAATGGCCCAGACGCCCGCAACCGAACCTGATTGGGGCCCTGAGATATTAGCTCGGCCTGTTGACCGCAACCTGAGCCTGGGAACAGACACTAGAAAGAGACTCTCGAGGTCGCCAACAAACATCTGGCACTGGCGGTCATGATGCCACTGTTCGACTTGGGGTCGAGCCGGCCGAATCAGCCGACCCAGCTGAAGCATCTAAAACACGTTCAAACATCCACACACAACATATCAGGCGAGCGTTGCCACAGCACAAGGCGTCGTCATGTCATGTTGATTAAACGGCACGGCACTCTGTCAGCCTCAACGCAGCCATCTCGAGCTCGTGGGCGCGTTTTAAGCTTGAATCGTGCGCTTGTTGAGCGGCATCATGTTGGGCCCTTATCATGGCCGAAGCACACAAACCCAACCCTCCTCTCCCCAGTTGTGATCAATTTACTCCGTAGTCATCATCGTCATCATTTCGCTCCGCCGGCTGGTCTACTTGTTTTCCATTCCAAAGCCTCTGGAAAAATACGACTGACGAACCAAGTACTATGCAGTAATGGAGGCTGCATCCGCCGAAGGGATGAAACAGATGGGCACTTGTCATGGCTACATGATGCAATAGTACTAAGAGCAATGGGAGTCCCTTGCTCACGCCCCAGTATTCGTCCGTAAAGTAAACCCTTGTCTTCCTTGGCAGCCTACTCACCGTCCTTGAAGAACCTGTGATTCAAGCCATGTCGAGACAAGATCTGGCGGCCGCCTCGTGCCCTTTGTCTCGGCATGCAGGTTGGTCCGGAGTAGACATCCTTTGTTCCTGCTCAACCATAGCATAGCCATCGTGTACATATAATACATGGATTGCCAAATGCTCAAAACAGCGTAATAGCTGCTAGGTGTCTGAGGCTGTAGATGATCAACAACGAGCGTGTAATGGGCTGACAACCTAGCCAGGCACTCAGTACAACATACTTCTTAATCTGCCACCCGCTCTATGGAAAGAGTTAAAAGCTCACGACAGCAGCCAGCCATATACCGCCTAGGTCGGCTCTAGACACTGGCGTCTGATCTACCCTGCCTAGGCATGAATAGGCCGAGACAAATGGTATCTTTTCAGAAGGGAATTATCTCTCGTAACGTTTGCATACTTGTAAGATGCCATTTCTCGCAGATTCTTCATGTCTAGGCAGGGTGGGATCAGAGACCAGTGTCCAGGGCCTATGACCGTCTAGGCAGGATATGGCTGTAAGTTGGATGGCAGCATGGGCTTCTGAATCTTTCCATTTTGTTCTCGTCGTCTAAAGGGAGAAGAAAAGAGAAGGGGGGGGGGGCCTCGTGCAGAGTAGTAATGCCACTCGGTTCACAAACAACCCCGTGCCATGCGCGTTCGCACGCAGTCTGCGACACCCGACGACTCCATGACACGGCTGTTGTCCTCGCGCCAAAAGGTGGAACAAAGTGGCGTGGGTTGTGGAGGCGGATAAGGGGTATTCTGACACCACTTTGCCTGTGAACGAACCAGCCGGGCGGATGACATGGTGATAGTAGTGCTGACACCTACAACATGCACAGCGCCGGCATTGCGGGCGTTCACTTACAAACAGTCGAATGAAGGTGGAATGGTCCGGGTCCTCCTCGGTACGCCATGCCGTGTTGTAGACCGGAGAAGAGAAAGAGGGAGTACGTACGGAGCAGTGTCTGCAATCCTTGATTGATGTTTCGAGAAACCGCGCATATTAAAGGGAGGGGGAGGCCAGATGTTGCTTTTGTAAGGAGTGGAGTCACATGATTCCAACCCGGTCCGGCCAACACAGCTGGGATTTGCAGCCCCTTATAACGGGCCACACTTCGTTCATCGTCATTCCCGTCGCAACAATTACACGTCGACATGCATTCGGTTGGTATTGACGGTATTAGCTCGGCTGCCAGGAGGATGGATAAACAAGCGTTGGGGGCCAAAAGGCTCCCACATGGTTCGTCGGTGGTCCACGGCTGTAAAGACGCCCAAGTGCCCGTGTCTGGAGGCAAAGTACGGAGTACTGGTCTGTTTTGTTTCCAAGCAGTCGTCAGCCGCATGCCAACAACTCGTTCCTTGTCTCCCAGCCCATCCAAACAATATTGATGCGGGTTGCCCAACTCGTTCTGACGCGCGCATAGGCAGCAAGGAAGCCCAAACAGCTAGCTGATACTGTAGATAATGGCTCCCAACACTAGCATTGATTCCTGTTCGCCAGGCACACTGCGCAATTATAAGCGTGCCGGCAGAACCCAGAACCCAGTGCCCATGCCACGCCATGGGTGCGGTGCCGCTAGGCTCTAGCAGCCGCAGGATGGACATGGAGATGCTTAGCCAGGGGTAAAAGCAGCCATCGGCCGGGGGGGTTGACATGTGGACATGTGGACATCTGGATATCCATCCCAACGCCCACATTTCCCATGACAAACAAAGACATGCGACATGGTTTTTGGCATGGCCGCATCGGCTGCTCCACTTGGGGTTGTGTTTCATCTTGGTGGGCCCGCAAAGGCGAAACAGGGAGCGACGTCTTGCCCTCGTATCGTCAAGCGCACATCAACCACGGAAACATGGGTCATCGACTCGTCGGTGCCGTCACGAGCAGCACCAAGCTTTTTGTCATTGCTGGCAGGCTGTTTCGTCTTGTCGGCTCATTCGACCAACGCCCGTTGACACCCGCCGTCGCCAGCCTTTCCTACTACGGCACCACCAACGAGGCTGCCGATCTTGTCCAGGATGGCCACAGCATGAACAAGCTTTCCATGGTAGTGCTGCGACGATGTTTATTAATTCGTTTTTTCTTTGGATCTTCTGCCGTGTGGGTGATGGGCAATGTCGACCCCGTCGGGCAAATGAAATGGGTTGTCGTGCTGCAGGATAGCGACATGCCTTGACCGACGTTGATACCTGAGCAAACGGTAGCTCGGTATGTTCCGCAACAGCTCGCAGTGACCCTCGGCGGTTCGATTGAACGGGTTGGTACTAGTGCGGTCGATTGCAGATACGCATGTACAATGAAGCATCACGGACAGAAACCAGATTTGACCTCGGAAATCGGTCAACGAACCAGACCTGCGCGAGTTGTGGTTCGCCAACCAGAGCATGAACTGTCTGGTGGTAGTTGGACAAAACCTCCGGTGGTATCCATTATTTTACCTCCGCACGGCAGTTATGCAAAGCAATCATACAAGATTTATCCGACACACTTGTGTTCCATGACCGCCATGCGTGGCATTACCAACCTCACACTGAACGCGGTTTTGAGTCACATGTCCGTCCTTCGACCTCGGAACCACACCAAAGGAACTTGATTATTGCTACACCAGACATGCAATGCGGCGAGTAGGATTTAGTATTGCTCTCAAGGACAATGCTAGTCAGAGACCACAAGGCCAGCCCGACCCCTACACGGAAACGTAAGCTACCTTGACCCGAGGTCCAAGAGAACACCAGTATGAAACCAAGTCCCTTGATCACATATCGGCCAGCCGAGGAACATCAGACGCCATGCCAATCTTGGCTTCCAGTGCATATGTACACTATTTGCACAGACATGCATCCAATGTGCGGTGGTGCGTTCCCGTCCGCTCCATCTGCCCATGTACTGTACACACAGACAGTGATGTGAGATGATCTGCCCTCGAGATACGCAGTTCCCGGCGCTGCGACTAGCCCATGGATTGAGACGAACTCTCCGACAAGGTACAAGGGAATTTGTAACGTGCTGGTCGATGATCATATCGTCATTGTATGTACTTGCACATGCCTCGTATCATGTCGTATGGCATACCCAGCGGGCACCCCAAGCATCGCGACCGACCACCTCGCGCTCCTGCGCCAATATAAGCACTTCTATATTAGGAACAAGCCCGTTCGGACGCAGCCTCGAATTGCCAATGGCGATGGCTTCGGTTGCAACCCTCCGTCTTCCCGGAGGCCATCATCCGTTGACTAAAGTGTGCGTGCGTAGTTTGCGGCAGGCCAATATTCGCTGTTTCAGCATTCATCAGCCACACCGGCAGAGCCTCGATGGCACATGCTCTGCTCGGATCCCTGTTTTCAAAACAAATGACGCGTTTGACTATTGGACAGATCAAATTAATGTGATTCATTTCGAACCTTAAATTGTATGTATGTATGTATCTTGGGCATGGCCGACGGAATCACTGTTTTCTACGGCAAAAGTCCACCTATCGGATGTCAGGTGTTTGCTAATATCTTTTGGGGTTTCGTTGGACGTACCACTTCATATACCTACCTAGGTATATACGTACTTTGGCACGCGCGAATTGGTTATATAGTTGCCGCGCCTTGAGCAGGAGGCCGAAACTATATAGCCCTGACAAAAGGAGAACGAGGGTAGTAGAGTGGACAACTAAAGGTGATTTCTCGAGCCTAGAATAGCGTGTGAAAAGAATATGGAGATGCTTGATGGTAGCAAGTCATCAGAAAGGATGTGATAGTGATGCACACGTAGAAAAGAATTATTGGTCGTCTTTACATCCACAACCCGATCTCCCCATGATATCGTCATGTAAATGTGTGAGGACGGGCCATCGAGGTGGTTGATATCAAGTTTGTAGAAGCGATACATTAAATACCCGCTAGGTCGACTAATACTCTGGTCAACACATCAGTGGAAATCGCAACCACACTTTTTGCAAGATTGAGGGAATCCCTCAAATATTCGTGAATAATGTATTTTGCCTGTAGAATACAGGCAAAAGAAGTAACAATGGATATCATCACAGCATTGACCAATTCAAAATCAAGCTCGTTGCCAAGTCCACGAATGCAGTTTCCGGCCCTTCTCAACATCTTGATTCACTTCTCCATAATCCTCTTCACTTTATCGAGTAATATCGTACTCTCCCTACCCAACTTCTTCTTCCCATCCCTCCCGATGGTCTTTGCCATGGCCTTCTTAAACCGCTCCCTCTCTGCGAGCCTTCTTTCCCTCTCCTCTCTCCTCTGCTGAATCTCCAGAGCCCTCTGCTCGGATTCCTTTTTGCGCTCCTCTGCCTTTTTGAGCTGCTTGTCGTAGTAACCTGGCCGTCGGGTGCGTCGTCTCATGCCATCGCTGGTGGGATCTGCGGACGCGCCGGTGTCGGCGCCTGCTTGTGCCTTGTCCTCATCCTTGAGCATGAGCTCTCGCGTCGGATGCATTTTCTCTTGTCCTTCTTCCTGCGACTTGGGGGCCTGATCTTGTGAATTTACGCCATCATCGTTGTCATCCTTCTGCTGCTCGCGGGCCTTAATCTTGGCGTATTCTTTCTTGACTTTGGCTTTTTGAATGAGATCCTTCTTTATTTTTGTTACTATAAGTCGGGTTTAGTGTGTGAGTCTTTAGGATCAAGGTGAGGCTGAGATTTCTTATTTGAGGAGGGTGGTATATTTCAAACCTTTTCTTCGCCATGGTCCATCTGGCAAATTATCTGGCCCTACTCTAAAGCCGCGTTTGGGTTTCTTGGCCTCTAATGAGGGATCTCCCGATTCAAGAGGTCTCTTGGGAGCCATTTTGGCGTACAAGACACGTTGCACGGATTGCGCGGATGTGTCGCTCTTACGATGGTGACTTTCTCATGGATGGTTATCGAGTGTGAAGTTTGTTCAGGAGCCTGGCAAGAGTCGGTGGCAGCGACCGAAGTGGGGACCCGGAAGTTGAATGCAGGGCCCGCATTGGACCAGCACTGCTAATGTCGACTGCGTACTTAAGTAGCATGAACATGTGCGCAGGCACTTACACGTACACGACTGCAATACATGTAAGGGAACAATGAACAATACAGGCATGTCACTGGTGCAGGCATGGCAAAATAAACCCGTCTGGTCTTCAAGGCAAGCATGCCTAGGTAGTCACTTAGAAGAAAAAGATTCCTTGGACAGAAACAGGCGGGCGCATATGCACATGAACGCATGCAGTAGGAAGGAGCACGCAGTCACTTGAGCACAATTGCAGGGTTCAATGTCCAAATCAACCAGTTGACGTCTAGTTTCAATGTTAGTGTTTGGGCCCCAACGCAGGAGACCACTGTGCCGAGTCACAGGCTACCCTGGGCGGTCGGCACCCCACTGTCGCCGCCCTTGCGCACTGTATTGTATCACTCACCTAACCAAACATCAATTGATCGGGACGCTAAAGAGGGTCAACTACCAACATTGAACATTGAACATTGAAATGGAGCCAGGCAGTCCATATAAATCGGCGTTTGGGGTTCCCTGCTCAATGTTGCCGCAGTAGTCGCCGCCATCCAGCCACGGGTGGCCACGGAAGGAGAAGGCGCAAACCACTGACGGCGCCCAAAGTGGTTCTTGCCGTTGCAATGGGCAGCGCCTACTGCATCGCTTGCTGCGCCGTCTTGGCTACCATTATGCACGGCGGCATATATGTAATATCTATACCTACCACGTAACAAGGTACTTTATGTAGGGCGGCATGGCGTCGGCGCGTGGTGCAAAGACGGGACAATGTTCAAGTCGAGCCGAGTTGGCCAGACATCTGGGTTCCGGACGACAGACAGACTGCCAGGCTGGCCATGTTGGATGTCGGTTGATGCAGGTGGGGCGATTGAGCAGTTCCAGTCCTAAACTTCGTTAGCCCATGACCGCCACCAACTCTAGATTGCTGAATCGACCGCATGACGACGTCTGGCCTTGTCCACTGGCAGAAGATTGACCACTCCAGGTCCCTCTTTGGGCTCTAGACGCTTGAAGCTTGACGCTTAACATGCTCATGTCTGTTTATTGAACGCCTGACCCCGTCCGTTATTGTCCCACCGCTCTCGGCCTGGCCATGATTCACCGCCTGTCGTCACCCGGCCGTCCATCAATGTTCTTTATCTTTAATCCCGTGTCAGTGTCGGCGCTCGCAACAGTAGCTCGTAAGCTCGTCCGGTTATTACCCATCTTCCGGCCTGTTACAAATACTCGATTGGAACTTGCATCTTGTCACCCTTGACCACCTTTTGCCCTCGGATCCCGCCGGCAACTGAAACCGTCTTGTTGGCTCGTGTGCCCATGGCCATTGTCCCTTCCGCCTCCAATCTATACGGTACATTGTGGTCGGCAACTTGATATCACTGCTTATTCGTCTCCGAAGGCTTCCTTGTTCAGCAGCGTCCTTGTCGTGGGAATTGTAGGCGGTGTATTGTCGTCAAACCCTCCGTTTTGTGCAGTTATATATTGGAGAACCACAGCCCAGTTCTGAGCTGTGGTTCTTCCGTTTCGAATTCAACATGCCTATTTTCCAGGACGACCTCGAACCCGACCGCCATCGTCATCTCGGCCGACCGAGCCCGCTACAACGAGAACCTACGTCTTCGGTCCTGAGACGTCTTTCCGAAGAGAGCTTACCCACGGAGCTGTGTGAAGGGCCGGTCCCTAATGATCCAACACGACCAACGACACCGAGGATAGACGAGGAGGCTGCCATTTCTTGCCGAGCTGAGCTGATTGAAAGGCTGAAGAGGGGAGAGAGCCCGACTTGGATCCCAAACCGCCATGTAAGTTGTTGACTGTATGGCACTTTCACAATCAAGACGTAAATCTAACCTATGCCCCCGTGATAGCTTGAATCCATCCTCCAACGTCGCGATAGCCCTACTAACATACGTACTTCGCCCGAGTCACCGAAACTCTTACCTCCGGTCCAGATCACCCCCGAGAAAGTCGACCCTGGGACCGAGAATGCTGTACAAGATAGGCTGCAGGACGGCTTGAACATCGAAAGACCAAGGTCGGCCCTTCACAGCGGGGATTTTACACATGACCAAGCGGAACAGGACAGACCATCGAGTATTCTAAACCGGCAGCGAGTCGAGAGCCAGCTGGCCTCGGAATCATCCTGGATTGCAACTTCACCGCCCCGGGATTTCACACCATTCAACTTTGAGCG